AAGAGTGAAACCCCTTCCCCCAGCATAGCACATAGAATGAAAATCCTGGTTTTCATTCTAAGGTCAGCAATCCTTGAAATACACCAGCTGATTTAATTCAGAGGTTTTTCTATCGTCTAATATCTCACTGCTACTTTTGTTCCTTTCTCATTAGCATTAAAAAATTCACCGTTAATAAAGCATTATGGAATCAATTTCTAGAGGTATTTTTCATTTCTTTCTGTTTGTTTAACATATCCTTTATAGTTCAATTTGCTCTTTCTTTAACTGCCTGACCTGAGGATTGTGTGGTATACCTGTATTATACTTTATAGTCTAATGAGCAAAATCTGTTTCATTTTCTAAGCAACCTATGCTGGACTGTTGTCTATTTTTACATGTGCAGGTATACCCATGATGGCTGTAACTACTAGTAAATGTATGTTTACCAAGTCAGCCTTTTCTGAACTCAAAGTAGTTGCCCATTGAAAACCTGAATAGGTGTTAACGGTATGGTGTACTTGTTTTAATTTTCCAAATTCTACAAAGTGGAACATATCCATCTGCCAGATTTTATTCGTTTGAATACCCTTTGGGTTACTCCCTGCAGGTAGTGGTGTTTTGTTATATAAAGAACAAGTAAGACTTCTCCTTATAATCTCCTTAGCTTGTTGTCATGTAATAGAGAAGTTTTTTGAACTTGAGCTATTGACATATTTTTATAAAATTCTGAGGCCATCAGCACACTTCCAAATAATAATTGATCAATTTCTGCATTACCTTGTGCTAGAGGAACTGGTGGAACCATATGGAATTATTTCTGTGTTACATATATGAGGCAAAGTCTATTCCTGATTATATCTGGAGCCTGAATAAATAATGAAGTCAATTCTGTATTATCCAGTATAAATTCAGTGGTTAAAATATGCAAAATAAGTTTCTGCATATTGCAGAGCAGTAAGTATACTGAGGTTCTTTATAATTCCTTAGTACCATGAGAATAGCATGTAATTCTGACTTTTATACAGAATTATAGTGGCTTTGTTCTACTTTACTTAAATCTTCTTTGTAACCTGCCTATCCTGATTTATTTGCATAAGTATAGAATTACAAGCTCCAGTTACTGGTGTGTCACATACAAAGAGAGGAAGGATCCAAATAGTTCTCTTTAAAATTCTATTAATTTAGAATACTTGCTATTAATCTCTCAAAATTTTGTACAAGCTCTTTGTCAGGGATCATTGTCTTCCCATTATTTTTAAAATTTCATCATTAGTAAAAGGTATTATAATCTCCGATGGGTCTATTTCTACTAAATGACAGAGTCTCAATTTTCCTTTTATAATTAATTCAGTGACCTTTTCCACATAATATTTTAAGTTTTTTACTCAGTTTATATGGTAAAAGATTCATTCTAAGATAAGATATTCCCTCTGCATTAAAATTCCTGTAGGGGGATATTTGAAGTGTATATGACCAGAATGCAGTTAAGATTAGGATCTGCCATTGCCAAGAGATGGTGGCGCATGCCTTTAATCCTAGCACTCGGGAGGCAGAGGCATTGGCAAATCCTTTATATCACCAATTCTACTCTTCTACGCTGCGGCTGAGAAGTGCAGAGCAGAGACTGCAGAGGCAGGCGGATCTCAGCCTGGTCTAGAAGAGCTAGTTCCAGGACAGTCTCCAAAGCCTCAGATAAACCTTGTCTCAAAAAAAAAAAAAAGACTAGGATAAACACAATCCACATGTGCCTCCTGTAATTGCTCTTCAATCAAAGTCAATTTTTTTTTTTTCAGCTTCTGTTGTTAATTCCCTGGGAAGGCCTGCACACACTTGTTGTCTGCATTTATCGTACATGAAATGATGCCCAAAGTATCTTAAAGGCTATTGACTGCAGGAGTTCCCCAGCACAGGCTACCTCTGTTGCACATATTTTTTGCACCACAGTAGATGGCAGTAGCATCTCTACCCATCCAAGAAATCTCCTGAAGCCCACAGTCTTCCCTCTTCCTCACCCTTTTCTAGGATGACAAATAGTATAGGTAAATCACATATTCTATCCCACATATGTCCTTCCCCAACTATTTTATTCATCCCTGTCAATATTTCCTACTTTTATTTTTGACCCTCTCTCTGTGTCTTCCCACATGGCTGAGCTTGCATCACCATCTTCATCACTTATACCCCTACAGAGCCCATCTGTCTGGAACAAGGTGTTCCCAACTTCTTAAAAAGAATACCAACCTTTCTTTGGTTCAAGGTCATATTTATTTAGAAATATCTAACTTTTTTGAAAAGAAGATTAGTTATCTGTAACCACACTGCCCAGAATGGAAGCAACTGTTAGTATGTCACCACAATTTTCCAGAATGTGCCTGGTTTGTTGCCCAATTACTGTATAAAAAGTTCATACTGATTTATTACCCCCTCCCACTTTTTATTTAACAATAGGCACAATTTTTTTTAAAAAAAGATGATACACTAAGTGTGTAAGGGATGATGATATCCTTGCAAAGACTGAATTAAAAGTAGCATAACCAGACTGATTGGAAGATATCCATGAGTCCTGGTAACTTCCCTTTGGCCTGCTTGTATCAACTTCAGTGGGAAGATTCAGTCCAGTATTGCTATCAATGTCTTGGAAAGAGCCCTATTTAGGAACCACCACTTGGGTAAAATTGAATCCTTGGCTATACCACAGGAGAATATTTCAGCAAAATTCAAAGAGACAGAGGGGGAAGGTATGTACATCTAAGGTAGGTACTAAACAGAGAGATACACGTGCTTAGGTGTCTTTACGAAAGATACATAAATATTTGTCACGTGGCTTAAAGGATGTACACAGTGGTATAAGCCTTTAATATCAGCACTCGGTGGTGTCTCTCTCCTGTGGCAGGTACATTGTTTCTCGTCTGATTCTACCTACTCTCCATTTATTTCTTTTCCAGCATGGCTACGTTCTGTTAAGCCATTGGCTAAAAGCAGCTTCGTTATTCATTAACCAATAAAAGCAATACATATACACAAAAATTTCCCATGCAGAGGCAGGCAGAACACTGGTCTACATGGTTAGTTCTAGACCAGGCAAGGGCTACATAAGACCTTGTTTCAAAAAAGAATAAATAAAAACAAATAATGAAAATTTAAAACTTAGAGATTTAGCACAAATTGAAAGTAGAAGTATATGATTTCAAAAAGTATATATAGGGGCTGGAGAGATGGCTAAGAGGTTAAGAACACTGGCTGTTCTTCCAGCGGTCCTGAGTTCACTTCCCAGCAACCACATAATGGCTCATAACCATCTGTAATGAGGTCTGGTGTCCTCTCCTGGCATAGAGATATACATGCAGGAGGAATATTGTATACATGATAAATAAATCTTTAAAAAAATCAAAAAGTATATATATTGTTATGTATATTAATATTTGCCTGCTTATCTATATATGGACCATGTGTGTGCAGTACCCATGGAGGCCAGAAAAGGGCAGTGGTTCTCCTGGATCTGAGTTGTGAGCTGCCCTGTGCATATGGATCCTCTGCACGAACAGTAAATGCTCTTAACTGTCGAGTCATCCTTCCAGATTTTATCCCTCACCCTCAAGTATTTCCTTTGTAAATGAAATTGTAAGGTGTATTATTTATATTTAGAGATGAGTGTGGCATGCTAGCATAGTTAAATGCAAGGAACAGACATGCTGGCCCTAATTAAATAGAGTTGTTTATTAATTTGTGGGTAGTTTTTTTGTTAATTTAGTTTTTTCCCCAAGACATGGTTTCTCTGTGTAACCACACTGGCTGTCCTGAAAATTTCTTTGTAGACCAGCCTGGCCTCAAACTCATAGAGATCCACCCGCCTCTGCCTCCTGAGTGTTGGGATTGAAGGCGTATACCCCTATTGTCCATTTGATTACTTGATCATTCTGTACATTCTCTTTGTTATATCTTTAGGAAGATGGATACCACATCTGCAGAAAATCTGCTTTATGTCACTGTCTTGAAGTTTTTGACTCTTGTTGAGTCAGACATACCAACTAGAACTCAAGGGGAACAGTTTCTTTCACTTTCCCTGCTTTTAAATTCCCTTTCTCTTTTCAGACTACCTCACTGAGAGTCCCAGAGGAGAGAGGAAGATCCAATATGGCAGACAGAGGGCTTTTGTGGGGTTGTGGTGACTGGCAGTCACCACAGGAGGGCCACACTGATGTTTTGCATTTAATCCAGTGACTGTACCTTAAGGAACTGTGCTCTCAACCCGGATTTGCAGCACCGCATTTACCAGCAGCAGTTTGGCCCTTGGGCTCCAGCAATGAAGGAATTCTGTTCTCTCAGGTTTTGGCCTCACACTCATGGAGACATGATGTACGGGATGCTATGGAGGCCAATAAGGGTGGCAATTGCTCAGATTTCAATCCTGAGCTAGAACAAGTTCAGAGATGGGCTGGATTTTACACTCAGGGGTTGGTTGACTTTTTATGCACATGTGGTCAAGGGCAAAGCATGTTTATTTTGCTCTAGTTTGAGTGTCAACATGTGTTTATTTCTCCTGCCCTTCTTAACATTTTGGCTCTGATTCAGGGTGATAATGTTTCTTTCACTGGTTATAGATTTAGGGACAAAGTGTATTCCTTTGGCTCTGGTTTCAGGACCAGGGTGTGATTCTTTGACTGGCCCTTTATTCTACCCATAGGGCTTCACAAATTCTTGAAATCAGTTTTGTCCATTGGTTTGCTGGGACAAACAAAATAAAAATGAATATCATAAAGCTTGAATAGATTTATGACACTGCCAATTCATTTTTCTACAGAATAAATGTTGTTGGTTAAATGACTGTATGTTTGCTAAAATCATAAAAAGTAATTTATAACAAAAAGTCCTCAGAATCTTTTTCACGTAAGCAAAAACTACTGTAATATGCAAGTATTACAAGTATATTTATCAGATTGATTGTACACAAAATTTTACTCCTATATAGGTGAAAAACATTACCATATTGAAATCATTTTATTGAGTTTCATTCCAGTATGTCTTTTTTCATGTTTTTGAAAACTACGCTGACTAAATTTATAGTTTCTCTCTAGAATGGTTTATTTTATGTTTTTTGGAGTTTATTATGACACACAAAGGCATTAGCACACAAAATCCATTTATTGGGTTTCTCTCCAGTATGTGTTTTTATGCATTTGAAAAAGACAGAGACATGCAAATGCTTTACCTCACAGATTACATGCATACAGTTTCTCTCCTGTATGTGTTTCTTTATGTGTTTGAAGAGTATTGTGATGAGCAAATGCTTTACCACACTGATTACATTTATAGGGCTTCTCTAAGTATGTATTCTTTTATGCATTTGAAGATAACTGAGTCGTGAAAACAATTTACCACACTGATTACATTTAAAGGGTTTCTCTCCAGTATGTGTTCTTTCGTGTATTTGAAGATGACTGTGACGAGCAAAGGCCTTACTACACTGACTACATTCATAAGGTTTCTCTCCAGTATGTGTTCTTTCATGCACCTGAAGTTGACCGTGACGTGCAAAGGCCTTTCTACACTGATTACATTTGTAGGGTTTCTCCCCAGTATGTGTTCTTTCATGCATTTGAAGATAACTCTGATATGCAAAGGCCTTACCACACTGATTACATTTGTAGGGTTTCTCTCCAGTATGTGTTCTTTCATGCATTTGAAGATAACTCTGAAATGCAAAGGCCTTACCACACTGATTACATTCATAGGGTGTCTCTCCAGTATGTGATCTTTTATGCTTTTGAAGACTAGTTTGATATGCAAAGGTTTTACCACACTGATTGCATTCATAAGGTTTCTCTCCAGTGTGTGATCTTTTATGCTTTTGAAGACTACTTTGATATGCAAAGGTTTTACCACACTGATAGCATTCATAGGGTTTCTCTCCAGTATGTGTTCGTTTATGCATTTGAAGATAACGCTGAAATGCAAAGGTCTTACCACACTGATTACATTCATAGGGTTTCTCTCCAGTATGTGATCGTTTATGCCTTTGAAGATGACTGTGCCTGCCAAAGGCCTTACCACATTGATAACATTCATAGGGTTTCTCCCCATTAAGTGTTCTTTTATGGCTTTGAAGACTAATGTGATCAGGAAAGGCTTTACCACACAGATTATATCCATCCGGTATCCCTCCAGTATATGTTCCTTTATGACATGGATGAGTCTCATAAAGAACAAAGTCTTTAGCACCTTGAGTGTATTCATAGTGCTTTTCTCCCGTGTATTTTCTTGTATTCATTTGAAGATCACTGTGATGAGCAAAGACTTTTCCACATTGCTTAATTTCATAATGTTGTTCTCCAGCATGTGTATTTTCATTCCTTAGAAGGTGGGTGTCATAAGACCAGGCTTTAGCAGAGTGAGTATATACTGAATGTTTCTCTCCAGTTTGATTTCTTTCAATTCTGCAAAGAAAATTGGCACATATAAAAGCTTTACCACACTCAATACACTGTTGAACCTCATATCTATATGAAGAAATTTTATAATTAGTTCCAAATGTAAAGAGGAATCAGTTATTAAGATTTTATAATTCTGTATAAAATCACTTCATTCTTTCATTAGGGGCCATTTTGCATCTTGAAGAATATGTGTGATTGTAAATTCCTTTGTTTCATGGTTTACTTTTTCACCTTTACAAAAACATTTTATATGACATTTTTCACAATTTTCAAGAGAACTGGATGCACTGAGAGCATTACCATCTTTACTGCATTCATAAATTTTACTATACTGTGAATCATATTACACTTGCTAAGTGAACTAGGAGACACAGGTTTGTCGGCACAGACCTAGAACTCATGGGGCTTGTTTGTAATGTGAGTTTGTTGATGTATTAATGATGGTAGAAAACCAATTACTTGTATACATGAATCAAATTCAACAAGTATACTCTACATGGGAAAAACTGGTTATCTTCTAATTGTTCTTAAGGAGAGATGTGTGAAATCTTTCCATATCCCTTTGCTCATATGCTTGCATCAAGAGTCACATATGATACACATAGTAAAGGAATAACAGTGAATAAAATACTTCCACACTGAATTCTCATGGTTTGACTTTCTGTTCTTCACAGACCTGTGGTATACATATTAAGGTTTCTCCACAACTGCCCCTTGACCCTTGACTCTAATGCTGCTTTCACTAAACTTAGCACAATCCCAAAAAGTATATGAGTAATATAAGACTTACCATGGGATTTTGATTTAGTAGAAAGTTTTGCAGATACACTTATCATCACTGAAATGTGTATACATTTTGTTTCATGAGTAGCAAGAAATAAATGATTGGAAGATCTACTTTAGCTCTCATGGTGCTATGATTCAAATGATAATATCTGTTTAGGCATTGATTTCTAGACTTCTTTCTTTTTTTTTCTTTTTTTTTTATTAAGAAAAGAAGAAAAAAAACATAAACAAAAAACAAGTTTCCACCTCCTCCCAGCCTCCCATTTCCCTCCCCCTCCTCCCACCCTTCTCCCCCTCCTCCCACCCTTCTCGCCCTCCTCCCACTCCTCTCCCCCTCCCTCTCCAGTCCACAGAGCAGTCCGGGTTCCCTGCCCTGTGGTAAGTCCTAGGTCCTCCCCCCTCCGTCCATATCTAGGAAGGTGAACATCCAAACTGGCTAGGCTTCCACAAAGCCAGCACATTAAGTAGGATCAAAACCCCGTGCCATTGTCCTTGGCGTCTCATCAGCCCTCATTGTTCGCCATGTTCAGAGAGTCCGGTTTTATCCCATGCTTTTTCGGTCACAGTCCAGCTGGCCTTGGTGAGCTCCCAGTAGATCAGCTCCACTGTCTCAGTGGGTGGGTGCACCCCTCGTGGTCCCGACTTCTTTGCTCATGTTCTCCCTCCTTCTGCTCCTCATTGGGACCTTGGGAGTTCAGTCCAGTGCTCATGTGTGGGTCTCTGTCTCTATCTCCATCCATCACCAGATGAAGGTTCTATGATGATATGCAAGATATTCGTCAGTATTGCTCTAGGATAGGGTCATTTCAGGTTCCCAATCCTCAGCTGCCCAAGGAACTAACTGGGAACCTCATCTTGGGCACTTGGGAGCCCCTCTAGGGTCAAATCTCTTGCCCACCCTAAAGTGGCTCCCTTAACTAAGAATTGTGGTTCCGTGCTCCCCTATCCACCTTTCCTTTATCCCAATTCTCCTGATTCCCCAAGTCCCCCCTCCTTCCCTTCTACCTTTTCTCTCCCCATCTCCCCTTACCCCCATCCCACCCCACCCCCAAGATCCTAATTTTCTCCCCGGCAATTTGGTCTACTTCCCTTAGCCAAGAGGATAACTATATGTTTTTCCTTGGGTTCACCTTCTTACTTAGCTTCTTTAGGTTCACCTATTGTAGACTCCGTGGCCCTTATTTATGGCTAGAAACCAATTATGAGCGAGTACATCCCATGTTCATCTTTTTGGGTCTGGGACACCTCACTCAGGATAGTGTTTTCTATTTCCATCCATTTGCATGCAAAATTCGAGAAGTCATTGTTTTTTACCGCAGCGTAGTACTCTAGCGTGTATATATTCCATACTTTCTTCATCCATTCTTCCATTGAAGGGCATCTAGGTTGTTTCCAGGTTCTGGTTATTACAAATAATACTGCTATGAACATAGTTGAACAAATGCTTTTGTCATATGATAGAGCATCTCTTGGGTATATTCCCAGGAGTGGTATTGCTGGGTCCAGGGGTAAGTTGATCCCGAATTTCCTGAGAAACCGAAACACTGACTTCCACAGTGGTTGCACAAGATTGCATTCCCACCAGCAATGGATGAGGGTACCCGTTCCTCCACAGCCTCTCCAGCAAAGGTGGTGTTTTTGACTTTAGCCATTCTGACAGGTGTAAGATGATATCTCAAAGTTGTTTTGATTTGCATTTCCCTGATTGCTAAGGAAGTTGAGCACGACTTTAAGTGTCTTTTGGCCATTTGAACTTCCTCTGCTGAGAATTCTCTGTTCAGTTCAGTGCCCCATTTTTTAATTGGGTTAATTAGCATTTTAAAGTCTAGGTTCTTGAGTTCTTTATATATTTTGGAGATCAGACCTTTGTCTGTTGTGGGGTTGGTGAAGATCTTCTCCCAGTCAGTAGGTTGCCTTTGTGTCTTAGTGACTATGTCCTTTGCTTTACAGAAGCTTCTCAGTTTAAGTAGGTCCCATTTATTCAATGTTGCTCTTAATGTCTGTGCTTCTGGGGTTATACATAGGAAGCGATCTCCTGTGCCCATCTCCTGTAGGGTACTTCCCACTTTCTCTTCTATCAGGTTCAGTGTGTTCGGGCTGATATTGAGGTCTTTAATCCATTTGGACTTGAGTTTTGTGCACGGTGATAGATAAGGGTCTATTTTCATTCTTCTACAGGATGACATCCAGTTGTGCCAGCACCATTTGTTGAAGATGCTTTCTTTCTTCCATTGTATACTTTTAGCTCCTTTATCAAAAATGAGGTGTTCATAGGTTTGTGGGATAAAATCCGGGTCTTCTATACGATTCCATTGGTCGACTTCTCTGTTTTTATGCCAGTACCACACTGTTTTCATTACTGTAGCTCTGTAATAGAGTTTGAAGTCAGGGATGGTAATGCCTCCAGAAGATCCTTTATTGTATAGGATTGTTTTGGCTATCCTGGGTTTTTTGTTTTTCCATATAAAGTTGATTATTGTCCTCTCCAGATCTGTGAAGAATTTTGATGGGATCTTGATGGGGATTGCATTGAATCTATAAATTGCCTTTGGTAGAATTGCCATTTTTACTATGTTGATCCTCCCAATCCAAGAGCAAGGGAGGTCCATCCATTTTTTGGTATCCTCTTCAATTTCTTTCTTCAATGCCTTAAAGTTCTTGTCAAATAGATCTTTCACTTCCTTGGTTAGATTTACCCCAAGATATTTTATGCTGTTTTTGGCTATTGTGAATGGTGAAGCTTCTCTGATTTCCCTCTCTGCTTCCATATCCTTTGTGTATAAGAGGGCGACTGATGTTTTGGAGTTGATCTTGTATCCTGCCACATTACTAAAGCTGTTTATCAGCTGTAAAAGTTCTTTGGTGGAGTTTTTGGGGTCGCTTATGTACACTATCATATCATCTGCAAATAACGAAAGTTTAACTTCTTCCTTTCCAATTCGAATCCCCTTGATTCCATTATGTTGTCTTATTGCTATTGCTAGAACTTCAAGCACTATATTGAAGAGGTATGGCGAGAGTGGACAGCCTTGTCGTGTTCCTGAGTTAAGTGGGATGGCTTTGAGTTTCTCTCCGTTTAATTTGATGTTAGCTGTCGGCTTGCTGTATATAGCTTTTATTATATTTAGGTATGACCCATGTATCCCTAATCTCTCCAAGACTTTTAACATAAATGGATGTTGAATTTTGTCAAATGCTTTTTCAGCATCTAATGAAATGATCATATGGTTTTTTTCTTTCAGTTTATTTATATGCTGGATTACATTGATAGATTTTCGTATGTTGAACCAGCCCTGTATCTCAGGAATGAAGCCTACTTGATCATAATGGATAATTTTTCGGATGTGTTCTTGGATTCAATTTGCCAGTATTTTGTTGAGGATTTTTGCGTTGATATTCATGAGTGAGATTGGCCTGTAGTTCTCTTTCCTGGTTGAGTCTTTGAGTGGTTTTGGTATCAGAGTAATTGTGGCTTCATAAAAGGAGTTTGGTAATGACCCTTCTGTTTCTATATTGTGGAATACATTAAGGAGTATAGGTATTAGATCTTCTTGGAAGATCTGGTAGAATTCCGCATTGAAACCATCTGGTCCTGGGCTTTTTTTGTAGGGAGGTTTTTGATAACCTCTTCTAATTCTTTGCGACTAACAGGTCTATTTAGATTGTTCACCTGTTCCTGGTTTAACTTTGGTATATGATATTTATCTAAAAAAGTATCCATTTCCTTTACATTTTCCAATTTTGTGGCATATAGGCTTTTGTAGTAAGATCTAATGATTCTCTGAATTTACTCTGTGTCTGTGGTTATGTCCCCCTTTTCATTTCTGATCTTATTAATTTGCAAATTCTCTCTCTGCCGTTTGATTAGCTTGGAGAGTGGTTTGTCAATCTTGTTGATTTTCTCCAGGAACCAGCTTTTTGTTTCATTGATTTTTTGTATTGTTTTCTGTGTTTCTATTTTGTTGATTTCAGCCCTCAGTTTGATTATTTCCAGTCTTCTACTCCTCCTAGGTGAGTCTGCTTCTTTTTTTTCTAGAGCTTTCAGGTGGGCTGTTAAGTCTCCAATGTGAGCTTTCTCTGTTTTCTTTAAGTGGGCACTTAGTGCTATGAACTTTCCTCTTAGGACTGCTTTCATAGTGTCCCATAAGTTTGAGTATGTTGTTTCTTTATTTTCATTGAATTCCAGGAAGACTTTAATTTCTTTCTTTATTTCTTCCTTAATCCAGGTATGGTTCAATAGTTGACTGTTCAGTTTCCATGACTTTGTATGCTTTCTGGGGGTAGCATTATTGTTGAATTCTAACTTTAATCCATGGTGATCTGATAAGACACAGGTGGTTACTAATATTTTTTTGTAACTGTGGATGTTTGCTTTGTTACCGACTATGTGGTTGATTTTCGAGAAGGTTCCATGAGCTGCAGAGAAGAAGGTATATTCTTTCCTATTTGGGTGGAATGTTCTATAGATGTCTGTTAAGTCCATTTGATTCATTACCTCCATTAATTCTCTTATTTCTCTGTTAGGTTTCTGTCTGATTGACCTGTCCATTGGTGAGAGAGGAGTGTTGAAGTCTCCTACTATTAGTGTGTGCGGTTTGATGGCTGCCTTGAATTTTAGCAATGTTTCTTTTATGTACGTGGGTGCTTTTATATTAGGGGCATAGATGTTCAGGATTGAGACTTCATCCTGATGAACTGTTCCTGTTATGAGTATAAAATGCCCCTCTCCATCTCTTCTGATTGATTTAAGTTTAAAGTCAACTTTGTTAGAGATTAGTATGGCCACACCTGCCTGTTTCTTAGGTCCATTTGCTTGATAGGCCTTTTCCCAGCCCTTTACTCTGAGTAGGTGCCTGTCTTTGTGGTTGAGGTGTGTTTCTTGTAAACAGCAGAATGTTGGATCCTGTTTTCTTATCCAATCTCTTAGCCTGTGCCTTTTTATAGGTGAGTTGAGTCCATTGACATTAAGTGATATTAATGACCAGTGGTTGTTAACTCCGGTCATTTTTTTTTTAGTCGTAGAGTTTGTGTGTTTCCCTTCTTTGTTTTGTGTTGGTGAAGGGTCTCTAGATGTCTGAGTTATTGTGGTCATTGTTGGACTCCTTGGTTAGTGATTTTCCTTCAATTACTTTCTGTAAGGCTGGATTTGTGGCTGCGTATTATTTAAATTTGTTTTTATCCTGGAAAATTTTATTTTCTCCATTTATAGTGAATGAAAGCTTGGCTGGGTATAGTAATCTGGGCTTGCACCCATGGTCTCTCAGTTTCTGCAGTACATCTATCCAGGACCTTCTCGCTTTCATGGTTTCCATGGAGAAGTCAGGTGTAAGTCTGATAGGTTTACCTTTATAAGTAATTTGGCCTTTTTTCCTTTGCAGCTCTTAATATTCTTTCCTTATTCTGTATGCTTTGTGTTTTGATAATTATATGGCGAGGGGATTTTTTTTTTTGATCCAGCCTATTCGGTGTTCTGTATGCTTCTTGCACCTTCATAAGAATATCTTTCTTTAGGTTGGGAAAGTTTTCTTCTATAATTTTATTAAATATATTTTGTGGACTATTGAGCTGCCCTTCTTCTCCTTCTTCTACTCCTATTATTCTTAGGTTTGGTCTTTTTATTGTGTCCCATATTTCCTGAATGTTTTGTGATGAGAGTTTGTTGGACTTGCTGTTTTCTTTGATCAGTGTGTTTATTTTCTCTATGGTATCTTCAGAATCCGAGAGTCTTTCTTCTATCTCTTGTATTCTGCTGGTTATGCTTGTTTCTGTAGTCTCTATTCGTTTACCTAGATTTTCCATGTCCAGACGGCCCTCTGTTTGTGTTTTCTTCTTTGCCTCCATTTCAGTTTTCAGGTCTTGAACTGTTTCCATTATCTGTTTGATTGTTTTTCCTTGGTTTTCTAGGGTATCATTCACTGATTTATTCAATTCTTCAAACTTTCTGTTATATTTCTCATCCATTTCTATAAGGGCGTTTTTTACATGCTGTTTAAGGGTGTCAATCACTTTCATGAAGTCAATCTTTTCTCCTTCCTCTTGATTAAGGGGTTCTTGTCCTCCCGTTGTGAGGTCGCTTGTTTCTGGTGGCTTCATGTTGCTTTTCAGCTTGTTGGGCGAATTCTTGCCTTGACGTCGGCCCATTGCTTCTTCCAAATGCTCCCTATGGATCTTCTTTTACCGGATCAGGTCTCCTTGCCTACCAAACGCTGTCTCTCCCCAATGTTGGCTCTCTGGCGATGAGAGATCAGGCCTCCATGCTGGTTGGGCAGCTCGCAAACAAAGCACCTACCCCGCTTGGTGCAGGCAGGCCACAGAAACAAAGGAACTGCTGCCCGCCTGGGAGCCCCAAGTACTCGGACCCAGCGCCCAGATAGGCTGGGCTGGGCGATGCCACGCGCCAAAAGAGGGCAGTGGGGCCGAAGTGGGGAGGGCTCTGGACGGAAGCTGGGTGGGCCAGGAAGAAAGAGGCAGCACCCGGGGAGTAGAGGCCCTGCAGAGAGCCCAAGCAGGACAGGGGGCCAAGAAACCCCCGAGCTCCCCGTCCCAGGCTGGCGCCGTGGGCCAGAAACTCACCCCAATGCTGGGTCTCCTGGCGCCGAAAGATCAGGCCTCCGTGCTGTTTGGGCAGCTCGCAGACAAAGCGCCTACCCCGCTTGGTGCAGGCAGGCCCCAGAAACAAAGGAACTGCTGCCCGCCCGGGAGCCCCGAGTACTCGGACCCAGCGCCCAGATAGGCTGGGCTGGGCGATGCCACGCGCCAAAAGAGGGCAGTGGGGCCGAAGTGGGGAGGGCTCTGGACGGAAGCTGGGTGGGCCAGGAAGAAAGAGGCAGCACCCGGGGAGTAGAGGCCCTGCAGAGAGCCCAAGCAGGACAGGGGGCCAAGAAACCCCCGAGCTCCCCGTCCCAGGCTGGCGCCGTGGGCCAGAAACTCACCCCAATGCTGGGTCTCCTGGCGCCGAAAGATCAGGCCTCCGTGCTGTTTGGGCAGCTCGCAGACAAAGCGCCTACCCCGCTTGGTGCAGGCAGGCCCCAGAAACAAAGGAACTGCTGCCCGCCCGGGAGCCCCGAGTACTCGGACCCAGCGCCCAGATAGGCTGGGCTGGGCGATGCCACGCGCCAAAAGAGGGCAGTGGGGCGAAGTGGGGAGGGCTCTGGACGGAAGCTGGGTGGGCCAGGAAGAAAGAGGCAGCACCCAGGGAGTAGAGGCCCTGCAGAGAGCCCAAGAAGGACAGGGGGCCAAGAAACCCCCGAGCTCCCCGTCCCAGGCTGGCGCCGTGGGCCAGAAACTCACCCCAATGCTGGGTCTCCTGGCGCCGAAAGATCAGGCCTCCGTGCTGTTTGGGCAGCTCGCAAACAAAGCGTCTACCCCGCTTGGTGCAGGCAGGCCACAGAAACAAAGGAACTGCAGCCCGCCGGGAGCCCCGGACCCAGCGCCCAGATAGGCTGGGCTGGGCGATGCCACGCGCCAAAAGAGGGCAGTGGGGCCGAAGTGGGGAGGGCTCTGGACGGAAGCTGGGTGGGCCAGGAAGAAAGAGGCAGCACCCAGGGAGTAGAGGCCCTGCAGAGAGCCCAAGAAGGACAGGGTACCAAGAAACCCCCAAGCTCCCCGTCCCTGGCTGGCGCCGTGGGACAGAAACTCATCCCAATTAGACTTCTTTCTTAAATGAATGCCTTGCAAATACATTTCACATACATGGAATTGAGGTATATGGATTTGTGAGAAATTAATAACCATCAATGCATATAAAGCTGTGCTTCTTTATACTGTTGCTTTTGATTAATTGTTCCAGGACACATTACAATCTCATCAGAGGCACACTGTTATCAATGTTCACAACAAAATTACCTTGCAGGTCTTCTACAACATTGACAATGTTCTTTAGTGTTGTTGTCTTCCCAAATGTATCCTAAAATACAGTACCAAGATATGAATGTTATATTATTTAACATTGTGTAACATTTAGCTTATTATCTTAAGTGAACCTAAGAACTATTGACTGCATTATTTACTTTCTTCTTCTTCTTTCTAAATCAAAGTATAGAATATCATTAACCGAGGAAAAGTTGTCTTCATATTTTAAAACATGAAGGAAATTTATTTTTACCTATAGTAGTGAGGTTCCTGTAGGTCTCCAACATCACATCTTTGTAGAGATTCTTCTGGAAAGGATCCAGCAAATCCCACTCTTCCTGAGTGAAGTTGATATGCACATCATCATAGGTCACGGCCTTCGAAAATATACCATACATGTGTATAATGGAAAGCATGACAGTGACAACATTGGAGATGCATACTTCTTTGACAGTATGGTCATATGATTCTGGTGTTCCCCACTCTTATTCCATGACATAGACAATCACTTTAGAAGGAAATTGAAAAGGAGAGTCAATTCTGTCATTCCTCTACACTTTGAATGGGATTTCACCTTATAAGAGCAATGTTTATTAACAGGGAGAGACAAGGAGAAAGATCAACAATACCGAGAAAAGTGTATGAAAAATGACAGACTGCCAAAAAAAAAAAAAAAGATGGACAAACTGGGTGTATTGTACCTTTAGCCAAAATACTCAGAAAACAGAGGTGGGTATATTTGTCTCTGAGTGGAATGCCAGTCAAGTCTATGCAATCAGGTTCAGGACAGGTGGAAGTACACATTAAGACCCTGTCTCCTTTGCAAAATTAAGTGAAAGAATGGGATAGAAAGAACTGAAAGGCACTTATTGAAGTTCCTACCAAGAGTTTTGCTTTCACTCCAGTTCTGTATTCATCTTTCAGACCCCTAAAGTACCATAATTGAAACTACAATACCAGTAACATTTTCTAGAAAGGAACTAACTGTATGTTTAAAAAAAGTTACAAATGGACAGATGAAAACAAATAGAAATATAAATGTTGGTCATAAATAACCAACATAGAGTTGGAGAGAGGGAAGAATAATACAGCACTCTTGCTGGTTTTGAATGAGGTGGACACATTTGCCAGTACTTACATGGGGTTCACAACTCTCCATTTTTCCATGTTTAGGATTTATGAGACCCTTTGATCACTCTGATGACCAGGTACCCATGAGGTGCATATCCATGCAGACATATAAAATAGTCATATTGATTTTAAAAAAATAACAGCAAGTATAACAATCAAGAAGAATTTCATGCAACTACAATTTAATGACTCAGAATACTCAGGCAGTATTAATGTTATGAATACATGGCACCCTGGGAATCAGAGTGATATTCTCTGTCAAATTTTAAAATTCAAGATAAGCATGAAGCAAAGCACAACAGCTTATATTGGACATGAAAAAAAAAACTACATTTCAGGGACATCATCCAATAACATAAAACCAAATAGAGACAAGAATGATGCCCCCCTTTTCATTCAGGAATTTGGAGCCACACAGCAAGGACTACTTAGATAAGCAAACAAAACAATTAAAGCAGCAGGTTACCAAACTCCTTAGCACTGAATACCAACTGTTTCTGCTACATCTTATGCTATTTAGAGATCAAGATTATAATGATGGTAAAAGCATTTCAGTAGTAAGGTAGGAAGTTGGCTGATTAATGTCAAGCACAACACAGTGAATATAAATATCAGGATATTACTTAAGGGATTGAAACTGATCACATACAATGAGGAATTTCATCTAGAAAGGCTTCTCCTACTAAAGATTCACCAAAATTGAGAGAAAACCACCAAGGAGAGAAACTTGTTCAAATACATGATCATTTCTAGGAGGTTATTCATTCGGTCAAGTACATTCTGAAACCAGTCACTATTGGTTCATTGTCAACATGCATTTAGAAACTTCAATGATTCACATTTAAAGATTTTTGGAAAAGGACGCTTAAAAGAAATCCAACACTAGCTCAGAACTGAGAAATAAATGTTTATTTATATACGAGTAGACTCATAAATCAGAATCCTCTGCTTGTACAGAGATCAGAAACCAAATTCCATAGCTGGAAAAGAGAGGCTGGATGCATGCTCTACAGCGACATATATAGTTTAAGAGTTCACACCCCAGTGGGCAGATAACCACTGGCTGTAGACTTCCTACAGCACCTCCCCTCTTGTTTAAATTAGAGAGTTGTAAGCCTAATACAAAATTATATACAATAAGAACAAATATATTCAATAATTATTCTATCCTAACTAATTTAAGTCTTGTATAATAAATAACTTCGTCCAGTCATGAGAGAAAAGTAACTACTACTATCTGGTCTTCAACCCCATTTGAAGATCTAAGAAGGAAAATATATTACTTGAGTAAGCAGGAAGTGCAATCAAGTAACTTTCAAAATGTGTAACAAATGACAGAGACAACTGGCTACGTGAGCAATCACCCAAAGTCTCATTTGCAATGTTGAAGCAGACAACATTGGCTAAGGGCCAGAATAACTGACAGACCATTTTCAGAGGCAGAAAAATTTTCACAACAGTCTTACCCTATTGTGGCAAGATTTGACAGACCTGCTTATCCATTTTTAGATACTATTTATCTTGTCAGCGGTCAAGGTATGGACATTTCTTTACCCAAAGGACAGTTTTGTCAAGAAGAAAATAAGCTCCAAGTGGGAGTATCTTCGATGTTCAACATTCTCTCACGATTAGATCTGTAGTGCCAGGAGCAATAGTGTTTCATTTCAACAGAATCCTAAGTTATTTAAATGCCATATTCTACAGGTCATTGAAGTGATTGAAGGTTATCTCTCTATGTATCTAAACAACCTGCTTAGTCTAACTATAAGTATGAAAAATATAGAGAACTATTGATCTATAATTCTCAATACCTATATAATTTAAAGACAAAGACTTCATATTAGAATATTATACAATAATTGTGCTTCCGTGCTCCCCTATCCTACCTTCCTTTATCCCAATCTTTCTTTTTCCCCAAGTCCCCCCCATCCTCCCCTTCTACCTTTTCTCTCCCCATCTTCCCTTACCCCCCTCCCACCCCACCCCCAAGATCCCAATTTTCTCCCCGGCAATTTTGTCTACTTCCCATAGCCAAGAGGATAACTATATGTTTTTCCTTTGGTTCAACTTCTTACTTAGCTTCTTTAGGATCACCAATTGTAGACTCCGTGACCCTTATTTATGGCTAGAAACCAATTATGAGTGAGTATATCCCATATTCATCTTTTTGGGTCTGGGTTACCTCACTCAGAATAGTGTTTTCTATTTCCATCCATTTGCATGCAAAATTCGAGAAGTCATTGCTTTTTACCGCAGCGTACCCTTAGGGTTGGCAAGAGACTTGAACCTAGAGTGGCTCCCAGGAGCCCAAGCCGAGGTCCCCAGTTAGTTCCTTGGGCAGCTGAGGATAGGGAACCGGAAATGACCCTAGCCTATAGCAATACTGACGAATATCCTGCATATCATCATAGACCCTTCATCTGGTGATGGATGGAGCTAGAGACAGAGACCCACACTGGAGCACTGGACTGAGCTCCCAAGGTCCCAATGAGGAGCAGAAGGAGGGAGAACATGAGCAAAGAAGTCGGGACCACGAGGGGTGCACCCACCCATTGAGACAGTGGAGCTGATCTACTGGGAGCTCACCAAGGCCAGCTGGACTGTGACTGAAAAAGCATGGGTTAAAACTGGACTCTCTGAACATGGCGAACAATGAGCGCTGATGAGAAGCCAAGGACAATGGCACGGGGTTTTGATCCTACGCAATGTGCTGGCTTTGTGGGAGCCTAGTCAGTTTGGATGTTCACCTTCCTAGATATGAACAGAGGGGGAAGGACCTAGGACTTACCACAGGGCAGGAAACCCTGATTGCTCTTTGGACTGGAGAGGGAGGGGGAGAAGAGTGGCAGGAGGGGGAGAAGGGTGGGAGGAGGGGGAGGGAAATGGGAGGCTGGGAGGAGGTGGAAACTTGTTTTTTTTTTTCTTCCTTTTCTCAATAAAAAATAGAATATTATACAATAAACAACTGTGCAACAAATGAGGACAATGACCTCAAATTGTAAACAATGTATAAGTATCTTGATCAGAGGTAGAAATGTACGTTGCAATGTGATAAATATTTATCAATATATAAAAATGTTTTAAGGAGAGGTAGAAGCATGCATGCATATAATATTCAATATAAATTAACTTTGTGTCAATATACAAGAATCCATACCAATGCAATTAACTATAAATAATAACTCACAAGTATTCACTTTATTACTCACTCTTTTATGCATTTTTTTGTTTTGTTTTGTTTTTTTTGTTTTTCAAGACAGGGTTTCTCTGTGGTTTTGGAGCCTGTCCTGGAACTAACTCTTGTAGGCCAGGCTGGTCTCGAACTCACAGAGATCCGCCTGCCTCTACCTCCCGAGTGCTGGGATTAAAGGCGTGCGCCACCGCCGTCCAGCTATTACTCACTGTTATTATTAGTGTGAGTAAGCTTATACTAATCTACTATCCCATCGAATTCCCTCCTTTTTTTCAAAGAGATCCCTGCGCCGATAAAATTCCCCAGCGAACCCCAACACTATACCAATTATAATCAACCCCAAAATGATATCCCTAACCCGAGGACAAACTTTGCTGGGAAAGGGGACATCATCTTCTAGAATTTCTTCCAGCTGTCATGGGGACGATGTTCTTTCTATGGGATCCTATGAAAGTAAAATGATGGATACTTCCAAGATTACTGTCTAGTATAATTGCAAAGAGTCTCTGAGCATTTGGTAGGGTTTTTCTGAGCTTTCTATTTCGAACTCTGGCTAGAACATTGTAAAAAGTACACCATTTGAGCTAAGCGAGTTGGAATCAAATTGAGCAGTTGGTACACAAAACAGGTCTTGTAGTAGCACTATCAGCATTATGAAGTCCTATCAACTAGTTGGAGCTGTTGTTGTGGGTCCCCATCTTTTTCCTGGAAACTTCAAAGATTACTGCAGGAAAATTCATTGTTCAGGGTGTAAAATTTAAACATTATATATATATATATATATATATATATATATATATATATATATATCGAATGAAATGTATGATAGAAACAAAAATAAATACAAAAAAAGTAAAATGTTCTCTAAATTCTTTTTTCGGTCCCATATCATGGCTCCTGACATGAGATAGAAATTCTGAATTTTTATTTTAACAACATGCTTGGACTTAGAGAG